CTGCATAACAAAGCTTTGTTGAGATTAAGTCTTACCTCGTCTTCTGAAAGTCCATATACTGGCTCGTAAGTCGCAGCCATATAGCCTACGGTCCACGCTACACACACAAAAACAAGCCGCTTGGCAAAGCTAGCTAGCTAGCCTTGAACAATAAAGTCCCACTTTTCTCTCTCTGCCGTGCGGTGGTGGTCAAGTCCACAGTGAGACCAAGTCCTTGGCACGGAACGGGGGGTTGGTTCGCGGCCGGATAAGGTAATCGTCGCCAGCGTGGTCCGTCCAGGACACAACTTGGAAATTTAAAAACAAACTGTGTCCAAAATGTTTCAACTGAACTGATCGCTTTTGTCAACTCCGAGTTTATCCTCCGAAACGTTTCGACACTTGACTTCCTCCTAACGCTCAGCCAATCGCGTGCCGATTAGACCTGATTGCTGTCAACAACAGCCAATTAGATGCGCCGTGAATTCCCCAAAGCTCCTCATTAGCCAATAAAATATGTAGAGGGCGTGGAGCTGGGGTGTGTCGAGTGTGTGTGTGTGTGTGTGTGTTTTTTTTCTCCCCTTTATAAAGAGGGTGTGAGGACATGTCTTGCAAAACTAACTTTAACATGGTCAGGATTTTTTAGGTATCTATATAATATCGCCATTTTCAGCTAACCGGTCTCTTGAAGTTAGTAGCTCGCTCTAGACATTGCCATTCAGTCCTGAGCGCGTTCATGTTAGGGGCGGGGCTTCCAATCACAGCCAATCACAGGCTCTGTGCACGGAGAGAACCAGATTACATCGAACTACTGATCCGCATCACGAATTTAGGTCGATGCAGCGGCGAAAGTTACAAGAGTCACCGTGGGGAATTAAATTAACTAGAGTATTCTCATGCTCAGCAAACATATGATTTAAATAGATGTAATAAGAATGACCACAAAGGACAAAAAATAATATACCACATAATGTTAATATCTGAATTCAGGTGGTGAACCATTTGTGCCAAAATGTGAATTCCTTGATGAATAGGCCTATGTACAGTGTGTTTCACATGACATAATAAAATCATGGTAGCCTTTTCTGTACTGCTAAATACAAATACAATAGCCTATTGTCTAAAAAATGGTGTCAATAACCGAACAAGCACAACACATGTTTTTGAACTGTAGACTGTAACTATTAGACTACCTGATAAAAAAAAATGAGCAGGACATGAATGACCTCAGGTGGCTGGCTTTGGTTGTTGTGGTGGTGGTTATTAATAGAACTCCTTTGTTCTGTAGGTGAAAAGTTTTTACTCACAGTCGCTCTCAGAGGTTATCCTCCTGTACAATTATTTTGTTCATTCATTTAAAAGAAAATTGTTTATATAGTAATTGGCTATTATAGCCTGCAGTAGCCTAAATGCGCAATGACTCACACTGATGATGCTCTTTTGTCATTCATTCATGATTCAATCATAGCCCGCAAATAATATGGAGAGACAAGTGAATGTAATGTTGTTTGTTTGTTTATTTCTTTTTTTAAATCACTGTAATGTGCATCACCGGTCCTATACTGCCGCCTATTGACGCGTTCTACACCAATTAAATTCAACCAGACAACATAAACACAATCTTTCTTTCTTTTTTTCTTTCTTTCTTTCTTTCTTTCTTTCTTTCTTTCTTTTTTTCATCATTGACAGGTCATATCACGATTCTACCCTAGCCTGCAGTTTATTGGCCTCGGATTTCAACAGATAGGCATTTGATAGATGCCTATACTCTATCAATAAACACAGATCCCATTTGCTATCCAGTATGTCATCATGCCTTGGGTTGTGACTTTGTGAAATTGGTTCCCAAGAGCGCCGCTAGATGTCATTACATAGTCATGATCGCTTCATCGTTTGTCCCAGTTTGTGTCTGTACTGATTCCAGATTTCCAGTGATTGACAGAGCAGTGTCACATGACACAACCCCAAGTTGCATATTGTAAATAGTTTTATTGTGGAAGACTGACAGTCGTGCCTCAGTCCTCTCCTCTTGCAACAGCGCCAGCAGCATCAACGGGCATGCACGCGCACGCAAGCTGTCAAAAACCTCATTCACTGTTGCGCGCACGCCAACACGAAAACAGTTATCACGAATGACAGAGACATCTTTTTTTTAAAGTGTGTGTGTGGGGGGGGGGGGGGGGGGAAATATGCACTCTTTAACTTATCTATTGAGGACATCCGTCAAGCGCGTCCTTGTTCAAATGTTCACTGACATTCACCATGGTTATGTCGCATAATGGGACTTTTAAATCAATGTGAAGAGCAGATGGTCATGTTATATAATATTATTGCTTCTAAGTAGAGCTGAAAAGGGGGAGGGCCAGCGATTTCCCAAGCCACCCTTGATACAAGGCCATTACTCACTATGCCTAAATAAATGCATGTTTCAACACGTAATTATTCTATGCTTTGCCTACTCCCAAATAGCTATTTATGACATGTACATTAAGGAGAATAAGCACCAATAAGGCTTATCAATAAGCGAAATTTCTTCATCAAATATAAAATATATTTAGACCTATAGAGAAGGGTTTTGTATTCATCCATTGTAGACTTTATACTTATAAGAGTTACTGAAATCTCACAATAAGAGTTAATTTAGAGATCAAGTTTGCCTCTATTACGACTTTGACACTACAGACAGACAGTATCAGACTTAATATCTGAGCGTTTTACTTGACTTTTTCTTACTTAAAAAAACAACTCTTAATCCGTTTTAACCCAAAGAGATACATTTTAATGCCAAGCACACATTACTGTCCATTTGTCATCACCACTTTCCAGGAATTTCTGTCCTCTCAGCCCCAATTTTCCACATGAATGCATCATATGTATGTTTGCGTCAGGATCTGTAGGATCTGGTCAGAGTCTGTAGGATCTCTGTAGGTGTGGCTTCCCAGAAAGTCAACACAATGAGAGAAAAGGAAGTTCGCTTCAGGAGACAATGATCGGATATAGACACAGATCCCTGAAGAAATCTGAAATTCATTCATCTTTGTGAATTTCCAACAGCTGAAATCTGTTATCAGCTTACATGTTGTGTATCTGCCGGAAAAGCTTGTGTTTTTCACCACACAGTTATTGTTCATAGAGAGTCTCAGAACAAAACTTACCTCATGTTTTATTACAGGTGCCATCCACACACTGAGAAGTCCTTTTTACACTGTTTGAACACATGCACATAGAGATGCAAGAGTCTTTGAGGTGGGAACATCATGGTCAGGGTTACATCCTGTTCTAAATCAAATACGCCTACCTTTGTACCTTTGTTTCAGAAGATTTGTGCTTCTCTATATGTGTGATATATAATTGTTTCCATTGTAGAGAATTAAATCCTACATACAAGGAGCATATTAACCCCTTACAAATCCATTTCAAAGTGTTTAAGTAGAGATAAACACGTATTAATGCATAAATAAGAGAGAGTGAGTCAGGAACATTACATGGGAGGGGGAGGGAGAGAGGGATGTCAAATACTGGGAGACCTTACTATGTTTACAGTTCCCAGTAAGAGGAACCAGTGAAAGGATAAACACTGTTTTAGTTGGGCACGCTGTTCTGATTGTCACGACGTGTTTTACAATATTTGTTCATACGTAGAGTGAGGACAAGTCACTAAGGTAGCAGCAAAAAAGGACCATGTGTTGTCCTGAGGAGACGTGACTTTTATTGTTTTGCAGAGAAAAACACAGCATGTATATATATATATATATTGGTGGAGCTATTACAGCACAGCAACTTTAAAATGTTGCTCTGCTTAAAGTCTGTTGTAGCTGTTGTAGGCTACCAGGGAATTTCACAACATTCCTGATGGTATAACAGATAAGAAGACTTCTGTGGCATAGTAGGTTTCTCTCTCTCTCTCTCTCTCTATCTCTCTCTCTCTCTCGAGCACATACACACACACACACACACACACACACACACACACACAAATAGAGGTGAAACGTAACTAAGTGCATTTATTCAAGTACTGTACTTGGGTACTGTGAGTATTTCCATTGTATGGAACTTCTACACTACATCTCAGAGGCAGATATAAGTTTTACTCCACTACATTTGTCTGACAGCTTTAGTTACTAGTCAGCCTGCTTTTCAGACTACAACAGTTCCTGTTCAGTGAAAACCATATATGTCCGAATTTATCTCCAGATTTGGCTGAAGGCATAAAAAGTGATCCTGCTTGTTAAGTTAAATAAACTACTAGCTGTAAAAACGTGAATTAGCTGGAAAATGCACCATCACAAATCTGAAAACAGGGCTGTTTTTCTGAGGTTGTGAAAAGCTGACCTTTTTAGACTTAAGCCAACATGGTTCTCACAGGATAGCAACGCTACAAACACATGATGATCTTATACAATATGATGCATTGCTGTAGATTATATGAGCACCATAAACATCTATGGCAGTGAAATGCAATATAGGCCTATATGCAGCATACAGAAACATCATAGAGGCCAGTAGAAAGAGAAAGAGACCAGTTTACTGCCCAATGAGAAGCCTACTTTTACTTTTGATACTTTAAGTAAATTTTGCTGATAACACTTACATACTTCTAAGTTTGAGTGGAGTGGTATTAGTACTTTTACGAGGATGTTGCATTGGCTGTCATCATTTCCTGGAGAGTTAACGATTAGACAGGTAACCCAGTCCTTAAAACATAACTTCCAACACACGCACAAACACAACCGACATTAAAATGGAATAGGTATTAAGTAACTTTAAAAAAAAACAACAAATCAATCTGCAAAACAAGATTTTACATTGAACCACTTTTAAGCTCCCAGTTAGTCCTCCCATTTATTTTCAGCTGTGACACCTTGAGGGACTGGATGTGAAACTCGTTCAGCAAGTGTGCCTCTCCTCGAAACCCTGTGGCAAACTAAGCCGTGGGCGTAAATAAAAAGGTTTTTCACGGGGGAGGGGTGGTGAGCGGACTCCTGTGCCCCGCCCTCCTCTGGATCATAGAGGCGCAGAGAGTGGATGTTGTGACTTCTTAGCTGTCGGGACGGCTAAGCTGCCCGGGTCGGACGGTAATGCATGTGCCCTTGTCTCCTGTCATCCCGGTAAACCAGTTACACAAGTCGGTAAATTCGCTCTTCTTGGAGTCCGCAGCAGAGTCACCACAGCAACGGCACGGAGGGAGAGGCTGAAAACTCTCTGGTCAGCTGCCGGTAAGGACACATTTAGGATAGGAGGCTACTTCTGCGGATGTTGTATCATCAGGACCCTGTCTGAATGGGGAGAGTTTACTGCGCTCATTAGCGGGCTGCATGTTCAGTCCAATTCAGCAAATGATGGACCGTTTGGCGGTCGTACCAAGCATGTAACCTATAAAACAGCACTTTAATGAATTGTAGATCTCATTTTGAATGTCAAAGATGATGTTTTAAAGTCCACAGCTGTTAATTATTGCAGGTAACAAGAAACTGATTCGTGACCATATGTCGTCGTATCATTATTGTTATGTTGGCAGTATAATTTGTTGCCTGTTGCTTGTGCGCGCGTGTGTATAAGTGTGGTTTGTACGCGCGCGTGCGTGTATAGTCAAAGGGTAACTTGTTTTCTATTACCATGCCCCAAAAATGTGTCACAATGTGGACAAGAAAGAAGAAAGAAAGAAAAAGTTGATGCTTGTTGTTACAGTTAAATCCCCAAGCAGCACTGTTCAATTATTATTTATTCATTTCACAGTTTTGGGGAGAGATGAAAAGGCATGGTTACTTCTTGGATGACTATCTCTGAGAGTGATTTAAGTTTTAAGGATCATGTCAGTCAAGTGATTTATGTATGTTGAGCTTGCACAAACTGACCTCTTCATTTGTCCTATTCACAAGGCATAACATTGATTTTGTGGGTAATACCAATACTTACCAGCTGTGATGATTAGTTGCAACAGCAACAACAACTTGACTGAATCAGTTTAGTTGTATATATAATGTCTTACCATGGCCAGTGACAGCAAAGTCGTAAAATGACTCCCACAATTTGATATAGTATGGAATTAAAGTGGGATAATTCTCTTTTTGTTTTGCTCTGCATGAAAACATATTCCCTGGTTGACAGCTGACTGATTGACAGGTTATTTCCTTCTGCGTAGGAGGATGATGATGCTGGGGTGTCAGCGGTATAATGGGATTTCCATGGTCATGATCTGCTGCACCTCCGCATGCCTATTGGGCTTATAGTCAGGTTAGGAAGAGGTGAAAGAGGCCATTGCCCCTCATAGCGCCAAGCTGATCAACTCAATACCGGATAACATTGTTAGGTGCCTGCAGCTTACTGATTCTTTCCACTTTTAGACCTGCACCGGGGCATTGCATGCTCACTACAGTTGTAATGATTAGGTCACACAGCCTGAATAAAGCATGAATATATCTACCATTAACATAATGTTGTGGTTGGGGCTTTGGTGGCAAGTGTTGCTGTCACACACCATATTTAGCACCAAAACTATAGTGGCAACTTATGATAATTAATTCTCTTCTTATGAGTACTGCTGTTTTATAAGGCAATTACTTACTAATGCACTCTCCTTAATTATTTCAACTAATAGACAAATAAGTATTCAGTCATCCCTCTCGCCTTTTCACGTGTACGTACACAGCTCAGCTACTTCACTCAGTGTTTTCGTTTGAGAGGGACAAACAAGATGGAGGTGATTTGGGATGTTTTTATGTCCACCATCAGAAAAAGCACATGCCTGCCGCTGCAATGAAGTGTTCAATTATTTCACCTTAAAAAAAACATGCAGGCACTGCTCACCAGACTAATATGTTACTTAAACTAATGGAGGCCACTCTGCAAATCACATGTATTAAAGGAATATTGCTTGGCTCTTCTAAATACAGGAACCATAATGAGCTGTTGTGGCCTACTATATAGTACATACAAGTATGCAAGTTGTTTCCCTTATCTTACTAACCTATTTCTTAACTTCAAAACGGCCGAAGATCAGTGGGATCGTTATTGCTGCAGGTAGCACAGGGTGTGTTGTCTGCCGTCCTTGAAGACTCCCCCCCCCCCCACTGCTTGCTTTAAAGCACTACGTGCTTTATAAACACAGGAGGGCAGAGGATTGAGTTGGCCAAGACAATTAGAGGAAATACAATTTTATTGACAACATCTTTAAAATAAAAACTGTTGCAGTGACTGTAGCTGGAACTGTCACGTAACACATATGACTTCACAAGAATGTCAAGTTTTTTTATGGTGTACTGTCCTTAGTTGAGAGTGGGAGCTGTAAATTGTTTACTGCTGTCAAGTGAAAGGCATCGTGACAACTTTGCTCTCGTCATAAATGTGCTCTGATTATCCCAGCATGCTGTTAATTCATGTATGTGGATACATGCGCGTGGCTGTTTATGTATAAGTAAGTGCTACCATACCTTGGATGCAGAATTTGTGTCTGAGTATAAACCTTGTCTCTGGGGAGAGATGATTATTCTATAGAGCAAACGATGGAGAATTAAGTGTGTCGGAGAGCTATACCTGAAACTTCATTATTTAACTCTGACTGTCTTGGAATCTTATATCGTTATCATGCTGGTTTATGCTTTTAAAACCTATGTGTACTTTTAAATTTTTTTATATCTGTACAGATATACTGTTTCTTTAGGCCTTTGTTCCAAAAATACATAGACAGTCTACTACTGTTCATTATTCCTCACAATATGTATGTATTGAACAGAAAAAACAGCACAAAGTGCAACAGGTGCAGTATAGCCTCAGCAGTAGATTTTCCCGAGGGTGACAATAGATCAAAATCAATTGTTTATCTTCTTGGGAGCAGTTTCATTACCATGAAATTGACTCTACAACTTCAGGTTCCACGATTTTGTTGCTGTCTGCCCTTGACTACCCCTATAGGAAAAACATTGTTCCTAGAAAGGCGTTGGTGCTGATGATCAAACCGGTTTTTACAGTGCCGGGAAGTGTTTAGTCTGTTCCAGTCTGAACAGGAATACAGCTCAATCTTTTGAAATGAAAGCAGATTTCCTGCAATCTGTTTTACACATTCGTTCACCCAAACTGCCCAACAAATCACGGCCAGATTTACAAATTGTAATGCACGCAATATTTCCCTGATGTTTGCGTACGTTTTACTGGAGGAACTGACATTTCTGCCATGCCACACCTGCTGATCCACATTGCGAGTACGCTTTGAAGCCATAGTTCCTGAAAGAGGAGAATGTTACTGTTTCCTTGTCTAAATACTGAAGCTTTCAGATATGATAGAGGCTACAGCGGAGTGCTTATGCCCTATGGGAAAATGTTTTCTTAAACCAAGTATGATTTAGTATGTAAACGGCCCTGTTAGCATATTTTATTTGCGCTGCATGTAAAAAGTAAGTTAATATAAAACTGAAATATGTGACTGTGCAGTAAATCATTAAGGATATACTGTGTACTTTGTGCACTTCCAGAAGAGAGAACCAGGTTCTTAGAAGCAGGACTGCTGCTGTGGTGCTCAGCTGTGTCAGTCAGTGTGACAGAAGCATTCCTTATTAATCACCTTTGCAAAGGTGGGCCGTCATACAAACATGCCCGAGGGGATCATCTTGCTTCACTGATCACATTTGAACTCAACATGTCATGTGACACGTCCTCTCCTCACCTTTTGAAATTGAGAGGCCATTGACGGACACAAGTCGTAAATGATTCATATTCACTAGTCTGAATTTAGGCCTTGGCCTCACGATGACCTGACTGACTCACTTCTGATTTGTTGTATGTTGTACTCTTTACAACACACGTAGTATATATCCCGAAATGCATACGATTTTCTCAAGTGCACACCTGTGATTGTAACTCTGTGGCACATAGGGTCGCCATGTTGAACTTATGTACAACGGTGGAGCAGTGGGCCAGCAAGCAAGCAGTACATTTGTTTTCTATGATAACAATAAAGGTGTTGGGATATACAGTTAAATCAACAAACCATGGGCTGAGTGCTCCTGAGGTAAAACTGAAATAAAGGTTTATTAAAATTAACTCAGACTGAGAATCTATATAATATACTAATTTAACATTCAGCCCAATATTATGTGCAAGGGAATAAGCTTTGCACTGTTGGCCAGCACTTTCTCAGCTTAGCAGCTTATTCAGTTTGGGCTACTGGTTACGTAAGAAGGCTATATGCAGCAGGAGGCTAATCCAGTGCCTTGACCTTAATGCCAATTATCAGATCATTGTGACGTTATTGAAATTAAGGCACCATCAAGAAGAGTTGCGAACAATCACTTGCCCAAAGTCTTAATGGTATGAAGGAAGTGTAACAGCCTTAAAACAAGCTGCCTGCAAAGGTACTGCAAAAGTAGAATACTTTTTTAATCGTCATGTGGCACAACATGACTATTACATAAGTTAGCATACCAGATGATTTGACAGCACATGCCTAGGCAGCCACACATGTTATGAAATGAAAACAAATTCAAAAGAGTGGTCTTTGCAAGCTGAAACTTGTATTTAGGGTAATATTTTACACAAGGTGTTGTGTTGACATTCTCAGAAATACCACACACAGTCCTCGATTTCCATCGTCCCTGTTTCCACCAAAGCTCACTGTTAGTGTTTTACACAAAGCATTCAAGAAACCAGCCAGCAGGCCATGTCAAGCCTGCAGGACAGTGAGAGCATGCAGGTGTGGGTGGGGCGTGTATACTGGAAAAGCTCCAAATCAAAATAACAAACTAGTCAAAAATGTAAACGTTACCCTTAAAGCTATATTTTTTTCAGAGGGAATAGGTAGGTATGCTCCGTACTTGCATAGGTAGGTACATTTATTGTCACAATATAACAGGTTATATAATGAAATTGAGTTTTGTAACTCCCTTCTACTACATAGCAGACAATATACATTAATACAGAAGCAATTTTAAAAATGGTAAACAGAAATAAACAATATTCAATGGAGCAGTGCTAAGGATGAATTTGAGCTTAAGAGCCTGATAGCTTGGGGGGAAAAGCTGCTCTGCAGTCTGGTGGTGAATCAGTCTTCTGAACAGTGACTTCTCACTGGCTTATATCAAAAATACAGTCACATAATAGTCTCTAACGTGAGATATCTGTTTGTAAATGCGTTTCTTATATTCCATTTCCTGTTACCTCTGCCATCAGGCTTTTTTGCAGCACATCTCTGCTTCTTTTTGTCACATGCAAATAAGAAGCAAATTGCGGACGGGGCAGCTCAAAAATCACTGTGCGGTGACCACCTTGTTTTGATCAATTTTCCATGTTTGTTTTTGGCAAAATATTGTTTTGAGAGCCTAATGCTTTGGGGTGTTGTCAAGAGGAGTCATTTGCATAATAGGCTATCTAAGAATGTGAACATGCATCTGTCCAAACTGTAGCTTTTCCCTGTCCTTGGTGGACTAGAGCAAGTCTTTTCAATATGTCAAATCCTCAACTGACAGCAGCAGTTCAACGTCAGTAATCATAAGAAAGGGAGAGAGAATGTGAGTGGAAGGGCTTTCTCCCTAATGCAACATAGCTCTCCCATCTATTTAACTTCTATAAGATATCATCTCATATTCTCCCTCCCTCCTCGCCTCATACAGAGTGATAACTCAAACATCTGCACATGGCACATGGAAATGCAGATGTCAAAGTCATGCAAACGGGAGTTGGGGTGGCCAGCAGCCAGACGAACTAGCCTCCCGCTCTGTGTGACTCAACTCAGGTTATGTAATCAGTTACGCTTGCATGTGCCAGCTGGTAGGGGCAGCCAGAAACAGAGAGGATGTTTTTTAATCCTTAGTAAAACAGCATACATTCTCTGTAGAAGATTTGTTTTACCTTTCATCACATTTACCGTTCTGTAGATTGTGTGTAATTTTTTATCCCTACCATGTCTGTTGTTTAGGAAATGAGTGTTAAGTTGAGTTGAATGACAGGATTCAGGAATGTTCACGATGATATGTTTATTTAGCATACCTTACTCTTTACCTTAGCAGTAATGCATGTAGTAGACGATGTCCTTTTACGTTATCGCTTCCTAATTATGTCTTCTGATGTTTTTCTATTACATATATGACATATCAGTTACAGCGGGCAGTTTTCCTTTGTCATGCAAGTATGTTGTGAATCAAAATAAGAAGTTCTGCTGTTGTGGCGGACAGCATCAAACAATGTGGGTCATGGGATTTGTCCATGGCTCAGATCAGGTCGTTCCCCCGCACTCAACTATCTTTTATTTATTTTTGTCTCCACCCAACAGCCGAGGCTTTGTGGTGCCATGATGAAAGAAGTCCTGGAAGCTGTCCTGCTGTTGTTGCTGCTATTCTCCACGCCACTTGTAAAGGCAATCCGTAAGTGTTTGGATGTAGCCAGACTTAAAACACAGTCTCAGTATCATCTTAAGTTTCTGGCAATGAGTTAAGACATCTGAGAGGTGTCTGGTGGTTGGCAGGCTGTTGACACAGGAAATTGGAGCCAGAGCTGCACAATTAATAGGTGATAAGTAATAGTGTCGTTTATCAGTGGATATTTTTGTGGTATATTAAACATCATTCACAAGTCACATCTGTTGTTCTTTTATTTTTGTTACATGATACACACTGTATTGTATGTAATCTTGTATTTACTTTCATTTCCTCTTTTTCCTATCTGTCTGTTAGGCTACAGCCCGCCAGGGAAGCCTGCATTGACCAGATGCCGTTCTCCCGAGAAAGAGACCTTTACCTGCTGGTGGGAACCTGGCTCTGATGGGGGACTGCCCACCACCTACGCTCTGTACTATCGCAAAGAAAAGTGAGTGGCTTCCAGTACCGTGCAGTTTACTTCATTTACCTAAATTTCGGATTTTGTAAGACTGTACTGATTGGTGTGCACAGTGAGGGACAGTGAGGAACAAACATTTATAGTTAGCAGTCACCAGTATGTTCATCACCATATGTCAGAAAGAAAAAGAATAGAGCTTAGCATCAGTGCCAAATTGGCAGCAAACTCTTGGGCGTCTTTACATTCTCAAGGTCAGCACAGTTGTCAGTGAGCGGCCTGCCTGGGGATTGGCAGCTCTGAGGGCACCGGTAAGGGTATAAGATGATAAAGATCGCGGAGAGTTATGTGGCTCTGGTTGTGCCTGTGGCTATGGGTTTTCAAATTGTGCACGGTTTATTAGGAACAGACACAGGTGCAGACAAGGAGGGGAGGGACCAAAACATTTCTGTTCACCTACAAGGCTTCACTCACTCATTTAGCAAGCTGTACGTAGTTGAGGAGGCTGTTGGAAATGTTAAGGAAATTTTAATTACAGGATTAGTTCAACATTTTGGAAAATACGCTTATTAGTTCATGATAGTTAAAATGCAAGTGCTGTCTATGATACATGGCTTGAGTCAAAGCAGCAGTATACAGTATGTGGCAGCTTTTTTCCCCACTTTCTGTTAAATGAAGTTATTGCAATTTTAATGTCAATGCCTACCTGTGCCATTGGCCTGGGAAGGTCACTTGCTACCATACACCATCCTCGACTAGTCGCCAGTTGCTTCCTTTCACTTCACAAGAAGCTTCCCCGCTAAGTGAGCATAACGCATGCAGATGCTCACGCCATCTTTCAGAGAAGCCCCCTGCTGAACAGGTCCTCTGACCAATCAACACCTGCTACACTGGTACAGCCACAGCAACATGTTCCCTGGGTTTCTAAACTTAAACACTCCCAGTTGTGTTCATTAAAGCACCCAGGTCTACTGGGATTTGAACCCAAGTGTCTGCAGCGGTGGCCAAGCGCCCATACACAACACGTCAGCAGAGATATTTTTTGTTTTGAAAACAAAACATCCGAGAGACAAGGCAAGGCGATCTTCTTTCGGTGACAAGACAGAAGGTGCAGGCGCAACAGGACGGAATAAAACAATTACAGATAACAGAAGTGCAAATTCAGAGTGTAAGAAATAGCAAAGAAATTACGCGGAACTTTATTATCCACTCATCTATTTTGTTGTAGTTAATGGCTAAGAATGTGTTCTTCCATTTCTTTCTGCAATTCAAAAAATCACAAGATAAATGGCCTCCATTTATCTTGCAATCGCCCTCTCCTCTTGTCTTTATTGTCTTTATCATCTTGCCCCCTTCCTCCCCACACACACGTACACACACAGTTACAGGAAATGTAGCATGAAGAATGCATGCTGTTCTTTGCAAACGCACGCATGTTACATGTTCTTCCTGCTCCTCTCTTGCAGCTCTGAGACAGTGCGTGAGTGTCCCGACTACTACACAGCTGGAGAAAACTCCTGCTTCTTTAACAAGAACGACACGTCCATCTGGGTCAACTACAACATCACTGTGGTGGCCACTAATGCACTGGGCAGCACCTTCTCTGACCCTGTGGATATAGATGTGGTCTACATTGGTAAGGCAATGTATTCTAATCTTTTTGTTGGGGGGGTATTTGTTCTCGTGGTTTAGCGGGATGTTCGAGGCACAATTTCCCCATGAGGATTAAAAAAGTGTATTGTAATACACTCACACAGCTGCTTAATGTCACACTGGGTTACTCTGTGGGCTAATGCTCTCTGAGTGTACTTACTCTCCCTCCAGCTGTAACTGTGCACTGAAGGTCACCATTTTAAAGCAGTGATATTATAAGATGACTTTGTCAGCCTACTGAATAAAGGCTGACTATGACCAAACTAAATGTAGGATAATTGAATAATTTAGAAAGACTTTTCTTATTGTCTACAAATCCCACGAAAACACCAAAAGCAACAATGAACTGGTCTAACTAACAAGTGTCACATGTCTTTCCCAAGCTTAATATAGTGTATTCATTAGTGCCATAGACCTCAGTTGTTGCCAATCAATTAGAAACACATGTAAGTGCTACACTGTTGAACTAGCTGACATGTTCCTTCATAAGGATAACCATGGAAATACTCAGTAGAGCACCAAATACTAATAATCTGTGGCTGAATATATTCCCTGGTAACTGGACCACTCTCTGAGTGATTGTTTTATTTACAGTTCCCTGGTGTTTCAGGAAATTCCTCTATTTAAAAAATAACACAAAGTAGGATCAAGCTTTTTTATTATTATTATTAAGGACACACACCTGGTCCAAAAGACTTCATTGTATAACATTATAAAAATATTGTATTGATTTAGTCCCATCCTGTCATGTTGCAAAATACGAAAGCATGTTGATAGTTCATGAAATTTTATAAAGAGAGAATAAACCCATAAAAAAGAAAGTATTGTCCGTGTCCTTGAGGCTGCTTATCTGAAAGCGCTCCTCTTCCGCTAGTCTCCAGTAGTTGCATTGACCTGATTTGGATATCAGTCCCAAGTCTGTCTTACCTCACAATTGTCAACTATGTGTCTCCAAGAAGATAACATAAAGCCTAAATATTAACAATGTGCTCTTACTAGCCTCTCCCTCCTAGATAGAGAGGTGATGTATCTGTTTTATCCCGGTGACCTTGTCCTACTGCACAAGGACAACAGCAACAGCTGAATGTAGTAGAAAAGTACTGCACAACATGGGCCCTGGCAGTAAATATGAAGAAAACTAAAGTTATGAGTTTTCAAAAATGCCCCAAATTTCAGGAGAAAAAATACCAGTTCTAATCTTAATCTTATCATTGAACATATTATGAGTCATACCTACCTTGGTATAACCATAACAGCATCATGGAGTTTCAACATGGCAGTAAATGCACTAACAGTAAAAGCTTAAAGAGCTCTAAATGCAAGTAATAGACAATATAATAATTTCAAATAAAATCTGGAAAATATCATCATCAATGATCATCCAGCCCTTTACACTTTATGGTATCGAAGTATGGGGTTCACTCAGTTATCATAGACCTGACCTGTTGGGACAAAAAAAATTTTAATGCAGAATTCTGCAGATACATTTTACACACATACAGAAAAACACCAACAAATGCATGTAGAGCAGAAATAGGCAGATACCCATTGGTAATTAACATTCAAAAGAGAGCATTCAAATGTCTTAATCACCAAAAATCCAGCCCCATAGAGTATCCTCTATGTCAGTTGGTGCTGAGACTAACTAACTGCCTCCTCTCAGACACACTCGGGCCAGTCTCACAACAACACTGCTTTGCAACTCAAGTAGAGAAACCTATTTTGAATTGAAAGAAAAAAACTAAAAATCAAAGTAGATTCGAATGTTATCTTGCCCTAAAGAAAGATTATGAATTGGCAGAAAATCTCTCGACTGTCAGAGTTAGAAAGCAGAGGCACATCCTAACCAAGTATAGGCGCAGGGACCACAAACTCAGAAAAGGAAGATTCAAAAAGTCATGGCAATCAAAAGATAAGAGAATACGCGGTCACTGTTCCACAGGTGAGGCTGCTCTGTAATCTGAGATTTCAAAGAGCTAAATGAGCGCTCAAAATTTAAAATACTACTAGGAGAAGGAGACAGGGCACATCTTACTACCCAATGCGTATCAACATGCCACATTGAGTTACCTAGACACATACAGCACATGCATGTGTTCACACACACACGGACACCCACACACATCCAATATATACTTATATACTGTATACTGTATATGATATACTGTATATACATAATTAATATCGATCAATCTTAATGTTGTCTTAATGTTCATATTACAGTAATTGTGTGCTGTCCACATGTTTGGAATTATATTTTGATGCTTTGGCAACATTAATTTTGAAACTGTCAAGCCAACAAAGCCCTTTGAATTTGACATTTATCTCAACCACATCATCACACATGACTCAACAAATATTTGGAAATTCCCTCCTGCAGTGACAGTGTTCATCCACTGGAGGTGTGCATTGGTTTACTATTACATAGAGGAAGGGACACGGACACACCCCTGTCTATAGGGATCACTGCTGCACCTCCTCTCAATCACACACACACACACACACACACACATACACACACACAAATCATATCATATCTCATTCACATTTTCTCTTTCCCTCTCCAGTCATGCCTAATCCTCCAGAAAACGTAACAGTGACTGTAATGGAGGACAAGGGCTGGCCCTTCCTCCGGGTGTCATGGGAACCACCACATAAGGCAGACACCCGCTCTGGTTGGATCACTCTCATCTATGAGCTCCGCGTCAAGTTAGAGGTGGAAAATGACTGGGAGGTAACTCGTTACTTGTGCAAGGGAGTGGCCTGGTGGTTAAAATGTTTGTCTTTCAAATGTGACTTCAAGCCTCATGTTAGTAAACTAATCATTGGACAGGGCACTGAGTAACCCCAGAGGTGCCAAACTGCAGTTGACTTTAACCTCCAACAGGATGGTACATTTTAACCAGGGAGTGTTTCTGATTAAATCCCTCATAAAATCATAAAAAGTATTATTTTGCATACAAAACTATACAACATTTATAATCTATATGTTGAAAACCTGAAGGACTGACTGGAATTTGTATAATCACTCATGTTGTGTCAATTGTTTGTGTTGTATTTCCAGATGCACCTTGCAGGCCAGCAGAAGATATTTAACATTTTCAGCCTGCGGTCAGGGGGTAGATACCTGGTTCAGGTGCGCTGTAAGCCTGATCATGGCTTTTGGAGTGAATGGAGTTCCACTTCCTACATCAAAGTTCCTGACTGTAAGACATCCACCAACAATTAACTACAGTATACTACACCTTCCATCTATAACAACAATTTATTTCAACATTAATTAAAGGAACAGTTCAACATTTTGGGAAATATACTTATCGCAGAACTTCAATTAAAAGTTTAGTCCCAATAAGACACCTATCCCCTTAATTGGCCTAGAGTGGTTACAGATTTTGACATGTAAACACAGGTCTCAATTAAGCCTTAATTAAGTCAATTAAGTTCACACGATACACGATTTTAAGACCGATTTGCCAGTCGGTGAGCTCTGATTGTTGGGTAAATCAGCGATCTGTGTCGGCAGTCGTATTGCATGAATTAGCCTACTCAAAGACGCATCGAAAGGTGTCCCTGACACATTGCAGACGCCAGCCAGATATCTAGCATGCCAAATATCTGGAGGAGTCGGACGACTTTACATCCACATCCAGCCAATGAGAGCAGGCCGCTCCGCAGAGCAGACTTTTTAACTGAAAAACACTTCACTCACCTCCAGCTCTCTCTGTAGCTCAGACAATCCCTGCTACCGGTGGTAATTCATTCTTTCACCCATATTCTTTGTCTTTATAATTACTATGTTTATAATAATAAACAACAACTGTTTCGTGTGTAGGTTTGCATCATTTCCTGTTTTACATTTCACCTGTGTTTTCTTGACAAAACGTGGTTTGGAGACCAGCCGTTGGGTGACACTGACATTGTCAGCTCGGGGAGTGTGTGCCCCCCTGTCACCGATCAGTCATGTAGTGTCAACGCCACAACGATTTCAAGACTCCCGTCATAAGACGGCAAGTTGTGCAGTCTAAACAGCACGGCTATTGGCCAACGCTGAAAGTCGTGTAGTCTGCACGAGCCTTTAGACAACCCTGGGGTTTTTATACAAGTTTTTGGGCTTTAATAAACCTCTTAAAGCCAACTCTGTTACTTGCTTGTGCTAGTTCTAACCTGCTTAGATCGCGCATAAAAATATAAATGTTAAGTTTTGTCAATATGGACATGCTAAACATCGTAAGATTCTCCACAATTCATTTATTCAGTGAAATTTTACGGAAACAAGGCAAGGCAAGGCAAGTTTATTTGTATAGCACATTTCAACAACAAGGTAATTCAAAGTGCTTTACATAAAACATAAAAGCAACAGGGAAATATAAAAAAGTTTAAAAGCAAAAAAAACACATTAAAAAATAATTAAAGTTACAGTGCAATGTACAATCAGGGTTAAAAGAGTTAAATGGAAAATAAAAACAGGCTGAGGGGTTGAGCAAATAACTTAGTTACAATTATTCTGAAAAGAGAATAAACAGAGAAGGACACTTAATCTACTCTCTGTAGCTAGTCTGTACTCGGGTCCATAGCAATCTTTGGGTCCACTGAAACTCCAAAAACCCTCGAACACTACAGAGAAACCAGGACATGTCTGTCCTCAGGCCACTTTGATCCAGTTATACTCTGGACCCACCTGTGCATTTACAGTTGGACAGAGGTTCCTGCAAATCACTCACATTTAAGACCACTTCCTTCACTCTAACTATTTAATTAAAAGCAACGGTAAAAAGCTAAAAACAAAGAAAAGGAAAACAGTACAGTAAAAGTTACAGTTACTTTGACATAGACCTGGTCTTAGTGAGGACTCGAGCAGCAGCGTTCTGAATCAGCTGCAGCTGTCTGATGGATTTCTTAGGGAGCCCTGTAAGGACACTGTTACAGTAGTCGAGTCGACTGAAGATAAATACATGGATAAGTTTTTCCAGGTCCAGCTGAGACATAAGTCCTTTAATCCGTGATATATTCTTCAGGTGATAGTAGGCTGACTTTGTAATTGTCTTAATGTGGCTCCTCAAATTCAGGTCTGAGTCCATGACTACACCAAGATTTTTGGCTTGATTTGTGGTTCTTAACATTACAGATTGAAGTCCAGCGCTGACTTTCAATCGTTCCTCCCTGGCTCCAAAAACAATAACTTCAGTTTTATCTTTGTTCAATTGAAGAAAATTCTGGCACATCCAGCCGTTGACCTGCTCAATACAGTTACTCAGCACCCGTATGGGATCATAGTCCCCTGGTGAAATGGTTATGTAAATCTGTGTGTCATCTGCATAATTATGGTAACATATTTTGTTTTTTTTCATAATCTGAGCCAGTGGAAGCATGTAGATGTTAAACAAAAGAGGCCCCAGAATGGAGCCTTGGGGAGCTCCACATGTCATTTTTGTCAGCTCAGATGTGTGATTACCCATAGACACAAAGTAGTCCCTGTCCTTTAAGTAGGATTCAAACCATTTTAGTACTGTGCCAGAAAGTCCAACCCAGTTTTCAAGTCTGTCTAGTAATATGTTGTGGTCAACCGTGTCGAATGCAGCACTGAGATCCAATAGTACTACTAAACAATGCAGATTTACCGGTATGGTTTACAAGAGAGATGAAAAGGCACAATTTTTATACAGTATTTATACTGGTTGAAACAAACAACTTGATATTAGCCTGTTTCCCATCTTTGCTGAGCAAGAGCTTTGTAAGAAATTAATTTAAGACCTTTCCCTTACAGATGCCTGTCCCAAATATAGGTAGGGTAAAGTCAGGGATTGATGCAATTAAAAGCTCGGGCTATGAATTCATTCATTTATGTTGTATCTTACAGATTTCCATCGGGAGAGGTCAATGTGGATCCTCATTACCGTTTTTTCTGCCTTTATCTTCCTCATCCTCACATGGTTGCTACACATGAACAGCCACAGGTAAGCCAATGATCACAAATTCCTTATACAATTTGTTTGGTCAAATGTTAACTTTTATTTTTGATTGTAATATGAATTCATGTTTCATGACATATGCTACAGAGGCACAGAGCAGCTGTTGTTTTCACACCAACCTCAAGATCACAACTCAATGATTATATTATACTAAGATCTCAAACTAGTTTCTTTGTGATCATGACTTAACTATTGAATTACGCCAAGATAAAAGGGTTCTCATATTAATTTTTAAGCATGTTATTCAAGGATAATGATGTTATTACATTGCTATGCACCAGACTTGCTGGTGGGATGCACCAGACTTGCTGGTGGGGGTGGTGATGGCGCAATGGATAAGACTATGCCTTTGGTGTGAGAGACCCAGGTTCAATCCCCCATTGTGTCCCTGAGCAAGACACTTAACCCCTAATTGCTCCAGAGGCGACCTCTGAGATGTATAGCAATTGTAAGTCGCTTTGGATAAATGGTCAGGTAATGTAGACAGGCTATGTCCTTGCTTTGTTGTGATAAGCACAGAAAGATGTTCATATTGTTGTTCAAATTCATATTTATGAATTTTCTACGAAACTACTTTATCATTTTGTTATTGTCAGATAATGAAAAACCTACACTGAAACAGTCCATATCTTGAGATAACGAGATACTTAAAATGTGATCATAAAATAAAATTGCTTATATAACTGCTATCACTCTGGGCGTTTAAAGTATTTAACAAGAGAAGTATTGATTTGTATTATCACTCATGTTTATTGATTTTCACCTGCTGTTCACAAGCCCTGACATCTCTTTTTTTTTGTGTGTGTGAAGTCTGAAGCATTGTATTCTGCCACCAGTCCCTGGTCCTAAAATTAAAGGATTTGACAAGCAGCTACTTAAGGTAAGGGAGCATCATATAGGACAATGTTTTGATTTATGCAGTAACTCTCCTTATCTGCTGCAAATACTTTTGTGTAACCGAGTTTTCTTCTCTGTGTGTAGAATGGCAAGTCAAAAGAGGCCCTCAGTGCACTGTTGGTGTCCAATTTCCCCCCAACCACATCATCTAACTATGAGGACTTGCTGGTGGAATACTTAGAGGTTTATGTCCCTGAGGAGCAGGAGCTGATCCTGGAGGAAAGCAAGGATCTAAATGATGGTTGCCTCAAATCTGAGAGCTCCACATCTGACTGCGATTCCGGCCGGGGCAGCTGCGACAGCCACGTTCTGCTGATGGATAAGTGTGGCGAGGCAAAAGAAGAAGAGAGGCAAACAGATCAGGAAAGCAGTCAAATGGGGACGGAGGCACAGAGGCACCAGAAGGACTGGGAGGAGGAAATGTTGACCTATGCTCATGAAGGCATGGTTAGCCCTGACATGTCCAGTGGTAGGGTGAAAACCTGGCCTTCTGTGTTTTCTCCACTGCCCCAGTACAGCTCAAGCCCACAGGAACAAAGGAGCTCACTTGAGATGGCCAAACAGCACTGTCTTTCTGACAGCCTGCTACCCCCAGGCTGCATGTCCTCCTACCTTGCCCAGCCTGGCTACAGCACCAAGGAGGCTCTCGGATCGAGCTACTGTTTGAGCAACAACCAGCCTCACCTGCTCCATCCCCAGACGCAGGCCCACGGCGATGTCAACATCGTCGGCATTGGCCACAAACTGGCACCTGCTGGTCTGCAGTCGCCCGTTCTCCGACCCACTGGGTACGTTGAAGTCCAGAGGATCAACGAGGAGGATATGGTGGTTCTACAGCCTGTTGTGTCTGGCCGTGGCCGCATCGAAAGCTGCCCCCAAATGTCCCAGGGGGAGGACTACAGCAAGGTGAAGGGAGTGGACAGTGACAACGTGCTGCTACTACAGAGAGAGGTTATGGAAGAAGACAGGTGCCCTTGTGAGGACCTGGAGACGAATGGAGTGACAGAGAACTGCTACACATCGTTCACTGTTACCACTACACAGAAGCCTGCGGCCTGCTGTCACACCGCTATGCCAGTCCAGGACGAAATGGTCCTGGCAATGAATGGTTACGTTGACACTGCCACCATGTTCACACTGCCCACTTACTAGGTGCCCATAAGCCCAACTGGCAGGTCTGGGACATTGCAAGACCTGTTTCAGCCATGGGACTGAGACAAAAAACATTAAACACTGGATGAATCCTTGAAAAATGGTTGCAAAGACAATATTTTGCTGTAACTGGATACCGTTATTTATTTTTCACCTTCTTCTCAGCGTAAGAGACGTCACTGGTTCCACTGCAGTGAGGATCTCTGATTTTGAGAATCCAAAAGAATTTGATTGAATGATCTGAATAATAAGCTTTATAAGGAATACGATTGATTGTATAAACTATGTAGTTTCTATATGCTGTCTTTCTGATTAATAACTGTATATGTCTGTCATCTTTTTATCCGTCACAAGCATGTCATAAACTTTTTAAATATATTTTATGAGATTAAATTGTCTATATTGTATACTGGTGTAATGTGAGTATCTGTTAAAATTATTTGTGTAAAATCAAAATAGCAGAAAGCTCAAACACAAGTTTTTGTATACGTCTTTTCTCTGCTCCCTGTAGAACACTACATCTTAAAGCTGCTTGCTGGGTGTGTATGTGTGCATGTACATACAAAGGAGAAAAGTGAAAAGGTGGGAATGTATTACTCTGTTCATCATTAACAGACTATTTTATTTATATACATTTTTTACTGCTTTGATCAGTTAAGTGGTAAATTAAAAAATATATTTCTAAAAAGATGTTTAGTTTTTTGGGAAAATAGTATTGTGATACTTGCTTGCCCATGTAAACCACTAACCTTAAGTGACTCCGTCTCTGATATTTAAGTGATAAACAGCAGTTTTTTTCTTTTGCATAGATACTTTATAAACAGTCAGCAACCCATATACTAAATGCAATTTGAAACCAAATTCTTATCCTAGTAGTCAATCAAGTCTTTTTAGAAAAGCTTGCCATAAAAATCATGCTTTTAATAAATTTACATTTGTCTATATAGTATTTGGGTGTTGATTTTCATTTGGTGTCTTCTAGTAAGTTGATAATTACATGCCTGTTATTATTACAGGTGTGTAATTATCAGTAACGAGGCAAAAAGCATGCCAATCTGTCACTGATCAATAACATCTGAAACTACAGACAGCCACTGTTCCTCTACTGTATTTAACAAAAAAGGCCAAAAATTTGAAAGAAATCCCTTCATTTAAAAAGGGAAATTATCTTTTTCCAGACAGACACCAGTCTTTATGAATTGTTGTTTAATTGTTGTTTCTATTTCAGTGAATAACAAGAGAGAGCTAAGAATTCATTAGAAATTATACTTTAATTTCAGTCAATTAAGGCGAGACACCACTGTCAAATAGGCTTTTTTCTCAACTTTACTCATATCACAATGAAACATTACAAGCTGAAAGTATACATAAATAGAAGATTTTTTAAAATTACAACTTTGTATGTTATTTATTTTTAATATGCAAATAAGGTATTTCCTCATTAAATGATTTTTGCATATCACACAAATCCATTTTCCAGCACATTGATTTTGTTTTATTGTTATAATATACCAATAGGCCAGACATTTACAGAAGGGTTTATCAAAAAAAAAGAATTCACGGATTTATTAAAAATATACCTTTATATTATAGACGACGAATAGCCGACATTGTGCTTTAGAAAACAAACTTTCAAATCATTTACGATTCAATATGGACCAGTTGAACTTTTTACATGAAAAATGCTAAGATGAATTTTACGCGATCTGCAGTTAACGGACTTGGTATTAAATAGACAAATAACTTTTAATAATTCAAGATTGTTGAATTCTGAAAATTGACAGATTTAAGCAAAATCATCATTTTGAACAGTGGTGTCTCGCCTTGAACGTTGGGTTTTTTTGTTCTTGTTTATGTTTTTCTAACAATATTCGTTGTTAAAAATAGAAAATATCAGTTACTAAGCCTCCTTGTTTAAGTGCGCACGCATCCTATGACGTAGCACTGGTGGAAACGGTTATGGACCGTGCGGTGGACTGGACACTCCCCATCCCACAAACTTTTTACGGTCTATGTTTTTTAGAGAGAGAAAAGCTTGAAGTAGGTCGTGTGCTGAGTGTCAGACGGCGAAGTTAGTAGGATAGCCGTGTGCCCTCTCTGTACCTGCTCAACATGTATAAAGTTGTATCCAGTCTAAGTGGCCGCTGTGCAGTTTTAACAGGACAGTCCTGCTGTCGGCCCGGTTTGGCCAAATTCCACTTGGCAGGTGGTGAGTTACCGTGAAGAAGAAGAAAAACCAGAAAGAGTTAACGCTAGTTATGATCAGCTAAGCCATTTTACACAACCTGAACACGGGGTGTATTTAAGTTAGCTTTTAGGTTTGTCATAGTAAGGCAGTGCAGAAAAGGCACGGTTGTTAATAAGGTCGAGCTTCTTAATTATTTGACTTTAAACCGGTTTAAAATGTTGTAAATGTAACTTTTGGAACTTAATAACCGCAACGAATTGCCCAGTTTTTAGCCTGTAACCCAAATTAACGTTAATAAATCCACAAAGTTATCTAAAGTTAACTGGCGATATTTAAGTGGACTGCCAGTTTGGAGACTAATATTATTATACATAGCATATTATTGGAATTCTATTACTGATGCTTTATGCGTAAACAGCATTTTAATATTAGAGCTGGTGCATGTGGAGCCATTTTAACTACTTTAAATATGATCGGATAGTTTAATCTATAACACAGTGTAATATGTCTAAATTGACCACATGTTTTGTTTGTAAAATCCTAATCTTTAAAGTTACTTGTCCAGCTGTTAAATAAATGTAGTGGAATAAAAAGATCAATATTTCACTCTGAAATGTAGTGAAGTAGAAGTAAATGTACTTTCTCCCACAGTTTATAGTGTTCAGTTTTTGTAGAGACTGTTTTACTTAGAGGGGTGTTGATTATGTGTTTGTGGTGCTGTGGGATGTATTGCCTATTAATGACAAAAACATCATTATGTTTTTATTATTTTGTTCACCCCATTCACATCAACAAGGGAAGGCTAAATAACAAAAACATCTCTCTGTACGCAATACAGTTAAATAGCATCACAAACCACATCCTCCAAATGGACCATGCAGTTAATAAACTCCTCTGTAAAACACTTAAAACAAAAACTTAACATTATTGCAGGGCCTTTGTATTAGACTTCTTTAGTTTTAGCTCGGTGCAGCCAGCTGAGAGTGCTGAAATCAGTGCAACCACTATCCAGTGATATGTAAATTACATTATTCAAACAAGGCGTATTTGATAGGGAGACCTACACATTTGAGTAACTACAGCAAATTATACTGCAGCAGATTACATTAAAAAGGTAATTGTAATACTAAATACAATAATTTTATTCTATTCTATTATGTCACCAGGACTGATTAAATTGAGGCTACAAAGAGGAACAGTTATTTAGACCTTAATCCCCACCATTACCCCATTACACCATTAAATAATCCCCACTCCTCTGTTTATAAGTTGAATGTTTCTCCAGGGGTGAAATACAGCATTCAGGGTTTTTTTTGTCAAATAAATTGAAGAGTTGCCAGCCACACCAGTGCTCCAACCAAGGGTAAACATGCCAAACGTTATCTAGTGTTGCACAATGTGATGTCTAAGGTGAACTAAGTAAGTATCAACACTAAATTAAATGTGACATCTAATGTGTGTCTGTCTGTAGATAATAAGGGCGTAGAAAGAAATATAAGAGTTGGAAGACCTCTGGGTAAAATGTTACCAACAGGTTGTTTCATAAGTGACTCCAAAATGTCACAGAAATGTGATGTGAAGCTTTGACCAGCCTCGGCCAAGTTACGCAGTCAGCTCATGGAAAATAACTATCTTTTATTTCGCTGTCTAAACTTTAATGGCAATTATTTCACAGGTGCATTATGTCAGCAGTCAGCCTCCAAATACTCTCCCGCAGGCGTCCCAGAGATGCCCCCATGCAATTTCAAACCAGAGGAATACAAGGTGATAGCAATATCCTCGAGACATACATTGTCTCTATCGCGCCCTGTATTGTGTAATCACCTCTGTAATGGATATAAAATGTTATATGTCAAACTAAGTAAATATAAACATGCTGGTACATTTATTGTCAATATAAATTACATTGGTATTTTCACACTCACACCCACACAGCCTGTATCTTTGAAAGCTGTTTTCAAAGAAAAAAAAGATGATTTTCTCCTATCCCGTGTATTTGTCTTGGTCCAGGGTATGTCCAAAGAGCAGATGATGGAGATCCGCAGACAGAATTGCAACCCGATGATCATGAAGGTTACCTACTATAAGAAACCAGTGTTCATCCACCAGGGATACATGCAGTGGCTGTGGGATGTGGACGGGAGGCGATATCTGGATCTGTTTGCTGGTGTGGCTACTGTCAGTGTGGGCCACTGCCACCCGTAAGGTCATTTTTACTTTGCTGTGTCGCACAGTTAAAGCATGTTTCTTTCCGATCACTTGTGTTCCTGACATCTGTGGGTACAGGAAAGTAACAGCAGCCGCAGAGCAGCAGTTGAAGAGACTGTGGCATACCACTAACATCTACGTCTATCCTCCTCTCCATGAGTATTGTGAGAAACTAGCTTCCTACTTACCGGATCCTCTTAAGGTACTGTGGGGGATTTGTTTTTTTGGACTGGAAGGCAGGAGGCTGGATAAACACGTAGGCTGTAATTAAAATGCTTGCTGGTCTGTGTTCCCTCTGTCCAGGTTGTATATCTGACCAACAGCGGCTCAGAAGCCAATGACCTGGCCATGTTGATGGCTCGACTTCACACAGGCAACTTTGACATCATCACTTTCAGGTACAAGTCTTTTTTAAGAATTTTGAATAGAGAGAGACATCTTTATGTGCTTCACAGTTACGTCAAAAGTATGTCATTTTTTTATTAGGCTGAAGATTCCAAAAATAGATCATTTTATGAAGCACAGATAGGAGAAGTGCACAGTTTGAATAAACACCAGATTGCAAGGTTAATTATTCTTCTACTCAGGAATGAGAAAAAATGTTCTTTGTAGACATGTCCCAATATTGTTTTTTTCCCCCCTATCCTGATCCCAGTCATTTAATATTGAGTATCTGCCGATTCCGAGTCCCGATCCAATACTAATGTATCTCTCCTTTTAAAAGTATCCTCCGGTGTGTTGCTTCAGTGCAGCCTTTGCCTGAGTTACGTGATTGAACTCACTGTATTTTGCTGGGTCAGTGCTCTAAGCTCACCTTTGTCCCAAGGAGCACATGTGCAAAGAAATTTAAGAGCACAGCGAAAAATGTTTAAGTTACACAGAGTTTATTAAAGAATTTATTATAATCACATTCACGCTGAGTTTGTGTGCTCCTTCGCCTAGTGTGTAACTAAGATGTGAAAACCAGTGGAGGACAATGGAAGTGAAGACCCTGATATCTGGACACAGCATGGGTCCAACATATTGTCAGACCTTTTTAAAATATTGAAACCATTTTTTTCAAAATTTGACACATTGAAAACTTTTTTTAAAACACTGATCACTGTCATGTTTTTGTATAACGAGTTGCTGAAGTGACCACAGCTCGAACCTTCCTGCTGGATTTCTCCCGGTGTTGCCGGTGGCAAGTCTGACTATGCTTTTAACTGATAGTTGTGGGGCGGGGCGTGGGGATTACATAGTAATCTTTACTCTCACTCTGTGCTTGTGAATATCTTTTTCCAGTCAGCACGTATCTATTTTCAAGGGACCGCACTGTATATTTAGGTGCCTTATCAAATTTGTAATGTTAGTGATGAACACAGGCTCTTTTAATCTCAAATATTTTAATTAAAAAGTAAATTTAATAAAATAAATTAATTTTGAGCTCCTCCGGCCAGTAAACGGCTCTGTATAGAGCAGAATCCAGTGCAACTGTAAGTATTTATTGGTACAGAAGCTCCGGCGATGCATCTGGCTCTGCCTGCTCCTCTGCACACACACACACACTCACGACACGCAAAGTTTTCACTAAAGTAGAATATTTTTCTACCACCTTGCAAAATACTGTCCAAAATGTTTCTGATTTATTTTTCTCTTCCAGAGGGTCATACCATGGTGGCAGCCCGCAGACTATGGGTCTAACTTCCAACGCAGCATATAAATACCCCATTGCCAATGGTTTAGGCTGCACAAATGTATGTATGTATTACAATGCAGTATCATAAGAAAAGTATACTTGACGATGCATATTATTATTTCTATTTTAATAAAGGTGAATATATAATATGATGATATAAATAAACAGTTGTATGTATGGAAGATAAACATCTCACTGAAAACATCTGTGTTGTGTGAAAAGTAAATTGATATTTTATGTTCTCTAGGGCATAGACTTGGAAGCAGAAAGAACACACAAAATGTGTGATCTGTTTTTATTGTGTGCATTAATTGAACTAATTAAATTTCACATGTTTTGCATTAAACCGCTTCTTGACTTCTTGTTTTTGTATAGATTCCATAGATATCTGAAGTAAAGATGAATAATGCGGTGGCAACTTTTCAACTTTCACGAGGATCTCTTTGTGCTGCGTTCATTATGAGTGATAATTGCTGTCAGCTGACTAGATTTCTGCCCAACAAACAGACCATGTGTCCTGATGTGTTCAGAGGTCCATGGGGAGGAAGCCACTGCAGGGACTCTCCTGTGCAGACCATCAGAGAATGTAGCTGTGCCCCAGGTACACAAACGCATGCACCCATGGCTCAGCCCACCCACATTGTTCTCATAAACAGGAAAAAACATGACCATTGAGATTAAGCATTATGAACCCTTTTGCAATATTCCTACAAACATTAACCTTAGTTTTTATTTAATCGGTTGTGTTCATGCACAATGAGGACATTGTGTTTTCATATTGTTCTTTTTCAATTGCATATGTATTTAAAGGCAGCACAACATCCACATTAAACTGCATCATTTGTAAGAGTGAATGCTTGACTTTTGAGAGTGTTTATCCAAGGGGGGGGGAAACATTTTCAAGTGTTTAGTATTTCTGTACCGAGCTCTGCAACACCTTAAAGGGATGTGTATTGTAATGAATTTATGTAGCGTTGCAATTCCCAAAATAGATTTCTTTCTATAAAATCTGCCGTAAAACAGGTAAGTTGTAACCCTGAAAATGAGACAAAAGAAGTATTGAATTGCCTGTATAGAGTTCAAAGTCTCCTACTGTTGATCATTTACCTATTTTGACCTTTTACCATGTTCAGGTATTTTAGCAATGTAGTATGCCTTTGGCTCACCTAGAGAGTCTACCTGGAAATGAAATGGTCAGTACAGTACTTTCGCATACCTACGTGACTGCAATATAATATTAATATCAGTCACTAACAACCCTGCCGCTGTTGGTTAAATATAGTTGTTAGTTGATATAGAGGACAAAATGAATATGGATATGGAATGAATAATAATACATTAAATAATTGCTCAGCCCCCTTTTGTGTAAAGACAGGCATTGGTAAAGCAATGTGTATTTGCATGATAATGTCTGTATTAGTTTAATATAAAGGACTTAACTTTGTTTGATCCCACAGGTCATTGCATGGCAAATGAACAATACATTGGACAGTTAAAAGAGACATTTGCTACGAGTGTCCCAAGTCAAATTGCTGCTTTCTTTGGAGAGCCTATTCAGGTACTATATGGTCTTAGGTGCAGACAGTATGTTGACAGTAGATATTGTCTTTACAGTAATATTTGCAAGTAAATGGATTGAGTAAATTTAACTGATAACGGAAAGGTGAGAACAGAGTCCTTTGTTTTCACGCCATTGTTTTCACTCCATGTTTATTGTTTTCTCAGGCTCAGTGTGACGAGTGCTTGTGTTCATTAAGATGGGACTGTGGGATGTGTTTGATTTGTACAGGGAGTCGGAGGAGCTGTGCAGTACCCTAAAAACTACCTCAAAGAGGCTTACAAACTTGTAAGAGAGAGAGGAGGGGTCTGCATTGCTGATGAGGTTAGATACACATTTTTGTATATTTGAAATATTTTTATCCATTTACAATTCAAACTTCTATATTAATTGGAATAAAAATACTTGGGCATTACAGTGCAGTGAATTAACAGAGCATCTATTCTGCAACTATTTGTATGAACAATAATAAGTCTTTACTGTTTGATTGAATGTTTGGAGTAAAGAAACTCCTTTATAGTATGTTACTGTTAGTTCCTCTATTTTAACATCCATTAAACACTGAGCAACATTATCATTGATTTGGAGATTTGTTTTGGGCAAGTCGTATTCACTCTACTTATAGCTGTTTTGTTCTCCATCAACTCCTGAGGGAAATATCTGACTATTTAGATGCTAAACGCTCCACTCTGTTCACCAGCTAGTCGCTAAATTTGTCTGTTGGCCTTTTGGTGCTGGGCAGGTGGTGTTCAGCGGGTTTATCAGAGCTTTTTCACTAAAAACAGCTGCCTGCTGCTGAGGGGAACTATAGGTGATAATTCTCTGTGGGTTTGTTCACATTACACATAGTCATTTTACCCATTTGTAATAAAAAATGGTCATTACAGCATGCTCATAGGACAACATGTCAGTGTTTGTGATGAGTATATTAACAGAATAACTTAGCATAAAAGATAAGGATTAGCATAAAAGATAAGGATTTCTGCACATGTAAGCTTGCAGTTCAATGACAAAGTTGCTATTTTATGCCCAAGAGAGAGGCATATAAAGCAAACATCATATAACAAGGCTTTCTAAGGTTAAGCATTAATGGACTGCAATGGTGGAACTTGTGACTATACACCTGACAGGTCCAGACTGGATTTGGGCGAACAGGAAGCCACTTCTGGGGTTTCCAAGGTCATGATGTCATTCCTGACATGGTTACAATGGCAAAGGGCATTGGTAATGGCTTCCCAATGGGAGCTGTTGTTACAACACCAGGTGAGATAATACTTTAAAAGCCTTTGTGGAAAATCTGCTTCTATAAAAGTTACAGTTTCAAAGAGTGAGTATAGTGTGTTGTTATTTCCACTATTAAATTGGCGAGATGCATGGAAAGAGATGAGATGAGACAACAGTTTCCCAGTAGTGATTGATGAATCATACAGATTCATTTTGTGAGTTGAGAGTTTGAATTAATTTCTCCGGTGACTTGATGTCTGATCACAGGTTGTTCCTTTTTTTTTGTTGAGGTAGCTATTTGCTGCAGCTTTCTCACTTAATAATCAACCATTATATGTACTAACATTACTTCACTCAGAGAGCCCACTGTTGTTTTTTGATGTTGTTCTGAAGTCTTACTGGGTGTAATTTTCAAGGTTCAGAAACCATCGTGAAGACACTTTGATATTTCCACAAATCATTTGCAATGCATGCAGTCTGAGGAAATATATTTTTAGCTGAGATTTTAATTTGAAGAAGTAGCGGGTGGGGGTGTAAGCTTGTTTACTCATGTGTTTTCCAGAAATTGCCGCCTCATTTGCCAAGGGGATTCACTTCAACACCTTTGGAGGAAATCCTGTGGCTTGTGCTGTTGCTTCATCAGTGCTTGATGTAAGAATCCATATTCTCTTTGTACATCTTTGTTTATCAGGAGAGAGAGTTCATTTTAATCAAAATTCAGTGTATTTCTGCGCGTTGTTGTTGTAGACTGCACAGTGAATTTATTTTTACCTTACAGACTATCAAAGAGGACGGTGCGCAGCAGATCAGTCTTAATGTGGGCACTTATCTGATGACAGAACTGGCAAAACTCAGAGACAAGTATGAGATTATCGGTGATGTCCGTGGAAAAGGCCTGCAGATCGGTGTGGAAATGGTCAAAGACAAGGTATTGAGTTTGTAACAGAAATGACACTCACCTCTCCTCACATGCTGGAACAACGTGTGTGTTTTGGGCCCCCCGGGGGCATGGTTCAGCATTGCCCCAGTTAACCATTAGCCTGAGCAGCAGCAACCATCCGTAATTGTGTAGAGAACAATCTCAGCTGCAGTACATGTACTATTGACTGAGGTTCCTGTTGATACTGGCAGATATTGTTTAAAAAAGAGCCAGCAAAGGGAAGAGTCAGTACAGAGGCCGAGTAGTAAATACATAGTAACATTCTATAAATAATTTCAAGCATTTTTGAGGCAATTGCAGTGCTGTTTGGCAAATATCCTGTTGTTGTTATTATGACCAATGTTACTCTTCGCCCCATGCAGTCATTGTGGTTTGTGAAAATTTCCTACACTGCATAATATTTCAGTGTTTGTGAGTGTTGTGCCAGCAATATAGGTAGAAGGATTTTGGCCTCTCTTATGGGGCTGGGGCGATTTATCGGGCGATTTATCGGGAAAGAAGTCGACTTACATAACATGCGTCGACACATCGCAATGAAGCGCTGCAACAGGTTCTGGAGGGATTCCTCCAGAGAACAAGCTGCGGCTAAAAAATCTTGCCTATGACCAACTTAAGTTTGGGAGTATTTTAGACAGAAATCGAACAATGTGGTGCTCTGTAAAGCAGAACAACTTCTATGCAGCACAAACACTTGGAGAAAAAGCATCTCCAAGTGCTTTGTGAAGACGACAGCACAAATCCTGTTTACCTTTTGTCCCCAAGCAATATGTTAGAACTATCAACACGAGTAATATGTTTCTGTTAATAGAAAACCCGTAAAATGTATTTTTCTTCATCTTCCCCATGTTTAAAGTAATTTCTGCACCGCTGCTTACAGTATCGTAACGTTACACCATGCGTCATCTAATGTCAGGCTGTTTTATAGTTTATGTTTACTTTTAATGGCCATTTATGAGTGAGAAAATGGCTTAAATGGCATAAGGACTGACAATGTGTGACTGTCTGTAAGTCTGCCTTTCCTTGCCCCGCACTGATGAAAAAATGCATTTGCCTGTGATTATCTTACTGCATATTACTCCAGTGATGAAATAAAGCCATGTTATAACCATTTTAAGTTAAGTCAGGTACTTGAGTAAAAATACTGCTGTCACTGCAATCCTTTTGAAATTGCGGTCCAGTATTTTTCTGATCCAGTATCGGATAAATATCATAAGACAGCAGTGACAAGGAAATAAGACACATTTTAAAATATGCTACTATTATCATTATTATAATGTGTTTTTTTACTCTAATTTTAATTTTACTAAAATATTGAAATATTATTGAGACACGTTTTTCATATTTATTTTGGATGAATTAATTGTTATATTAAAGTTGAGGTAGACAACATTGGAGAAACAAGCAAAAGACAACTAGATTTTGAAGTATCCAACTGAAAAAATCCTAAACCCCTACGCTCAAGCCTTCCTCTGCAGCCACCCCCAAAACGCATTTTCATTGGCAGTGAGTGCACTGGGCAGAGTGCATGCAGGTAGGCAGGTCAGCCCTGCCACAGATACCTGATTTTTTTCATTCAGAGCTTTTGATTTATTGATTGCTGTGAATGTAAAGAGAATTTCAACAAATATAACAATTGCTACAATGTAAAGTAGTGAGTGTACAGCTTGTAAATTTGCTGTCCCCTCAAAATAACACATCACACAGCCATTAATGTCTAAACCACTGGCAACAAAAGTGAGTACACCACTAAGACAAAATGCCCAAATTGGGCCCAATTAGCCATTTTCCCTCACCGGTGTCATGTGACTTGTTAGTGTTACAAGGTCTCAGGTGTGAATGGGGAGCAGGTGTGTTAAATTTGGTGTTATTGCTCTCACAGCCCCTCATACTGGTCACTGGAAGTTCAACAGGGCACCTCATGGCAAAGAACTCTCTGAGGATCTGAGAAAAAGAATGGTTGCTCTACATAAATATAGTCTAGGCTATAAAAAGGTTGCCAAGACCCTGAAACTGAGCTGCAGCACGGTGGCCAAGACCATACAGCGGTTCAGCAGGACAGAACAGGCCTCGTCATGGTCGACCAAAGAAGTTGAGTGCACGTGCTCAGCGTCATTTCCATAGGTTGTCTTTGGGAAATAGATGTACGAGTTCTGCCAGCATTGTTGCAGATGTTGAAGTAGTGGGGGGTCAGCTTGACAGTGATCAGACCATACGCAGGAAACTGCATTAAATTGGTCTGCATGGCTGTCATCCCAGAAGGAAGCCTCTTCTAAAGATGATGCACAAGCCAGTTTGCTGAAGACAAGCAGACTAAGGACATGGATTCCTGTGGTCTGATGAGACCAAGATAAACTTATTTGGTTCAGATGATGTTAAGCGTGTGGGCGGCAACCAGGTGAGGAATACAAAGACAAGAGTGTCTTGCCTACAGTCAAGCATGGTGGTAGGAGTATCGTGGTCTGGGGCTGCATGAGTGCTGCCGGCACTGGGGAGCTACAGTTCATTGAGGGAACCGTGAATGCCAACATGTACTGTGACATACTGAAGCAGAGCATGATCCCCTCCCTTCAGAGACTGGGCCACAGGGCAGTATTCCAGCATGATAACCCAAACACACCTCCAAGACGACTACTGCCTTGCTAAAGAAGCTGAGGGTAAAGGTGACGGACTGGCCAAGCATGTCTCCAGACCTAAACCCTATTGAGCATCTGTGGGTCATCCTCAAACGGAAGGTGGAGCAGCGCCAGGTCTCTAACATCCACTACCTCAGTGATGTCATCATGGAAGAGTGGAAGAGGACTCCAGTGGCAACCTGTGAAGCTCTGGTGATTTCCATGCCCAAGAGGGTTAAGGCAGTGCTGGAAATGAATGGTGGCCACACAAAATATTGACACTTAGGGGTGAACCAGATGGATTTGTGGCCAGATGTTTAGACATTAATGTCAGTGTGATCTGTTATTTTGAGGGGACAGCAAATTTAAACTGTTATACAAGCTGTACACTCACTACTTTACATTGTAGCAAAGTGACATTTCTTCAGTGTTGTAACATGAAAAGATATAATCAAATATTTATAATAATGTGAGGGGTGTACTGACTTTTGTGAGATACTGTATGTATGTATGTATGACATAGCAACCACTAAAATGTTACATCACTGTAATGGCAAGAAGGAAACTACAGCCTCAGATGTGAGCATTTAAAAAAAAATTGACTCAATCGCTGACAGTCTTGATAACAACACAATATGTATATATAAACTTGTCCACACACTTTAGATGCCCCTCACAAAGAAAGGGGATCTTATCTTGGTTTCCTAGACATTTTCTTTCGTTATATTCCACTTCCATTTCAGCATACAAAAAAACACAATTCGTGACGTATTGCCTCAAGTTGGAGAAATGTTACATCTCAACACTACATTTTAAAAAAATACAATTCAGTTTAAAATAGTAACTGACTGACCATGAGCAGAAATTCATCATCCCTTGAGGACACCATTTTGTGCTGCCGTGTTTGAATTGCATGTTTTTTACCCAACAGCTATAAAACCCTGGAAATTGTAGATGTGGCTGACTAATAGTGGAAATCTTATGCACAAGTTGGCCTTGCCAATATTCAGATGTACAGCCTCTTAGCAATTAGAGGTTAGGTGCTTGAAAATTATTTGAATATGAATTATTACTGACACTAGCAGTTGGACCGTGCTCTTATAGTTAATTACTATAATTACCATGGTCACCTTAACACATCCAGCATCATTCAACCTTTCACCTCCTCTCTGTCCTCCACAGGCCAGTAGGGACCCGCTCTCTCCTGAAGCAATGAGTGAGATCTTTGAGGACGTCAAGAACATGGGAGTCCTGATAGGGAAAGGAGGAGTCTACGGACAGGTAGCAGCACTCACCATCTGTCCCCTCTGTCAGTTTATTTTTTGCTGAGTGAACGCATGGTATGAACATGGCTGGCATCTACATCACAAAACGTGTTTTGTTGAATACGAACACGTTTGCATAACATTTTAAATAGTTGCTTTTGGTAGAGTCTTGGTAGAGTCTTTACAAAAAGAATCACTCTGATGACATTTAAATTTCAATATGGAAAATGTTGTCACTATTTTTTGATTATTTTGTTTAGGGCTGTGCATTATGACCAAAATCTCATAACCCGATGTAGGTAATTTCATATCCAGGTAACGATACATATCACAATTTGGAAATTTTCTGTAAATTCAGTGTATAAATAATTTAAATAAAATGACCACATGGAAAGGGTCTATTACTTATTAAAAAAATACATTATAAACTCGACTGTACTTTTGACCATAATCTCTCTATATACTGTTTGACATTATTCTTGCATAGTTTGAGTCTGTTGTGGGGACCTGTCTGCGGCATCATTATCAAAATATGGGTTTGGGCCCTCTTTAAGTATGAGCTACTCATCATGTCTTGGCTGATTGGAGTCCTTCTCCTGTTTGGAATTACCCTGTTCTCTGTCATGTTCACTCTCCCCCATGTTTGTTTGTGTTGCCTTTATGAAAATTTTCTGCCTGCGTCAGGCACAGCCCTACTTGTGTTGAGCTCACGTTCTTGGGTAATTCTACTTCTAGCTCTGCTCATCACTTATCAAAATTATAACTTTGGTGTGAAGCACTGGCAGTCAGAAATAACTGCACAGCGGCTTTTCTGGCTATAGAAAATAAAATACTGCAGGTACTTCACTCCTACTTCCCTAAATCCTACTAGGCTAAATTGTGATAGCACCACAAGATAAAAAACTGAGGAAGTATTTATGCTAAGCCTCGTAAAAAACGTATGTACGTACGTTGTATGTTTTGACACATTAATGTTACGGTGCTAGTAGTTGAGGCCCTAAATTATGTCTCAAATTATGTTTCCCTTTAAGAACATGAGAATTGTATATAGAACTCTTCAGAGCATCCTCTTCTGTAATGTCTACTGCAATTACAGCACAATTGTTATAACGAAATAGGAAGCTTATGGGCTATTTCTACATTTCTGTACCTCCTGGAATTAAGTCAGGTCACAGAACCGACATGGGCCCCGACTTCTACACAAAATCTCCAGTAAGGAATATTCAGGAAAATTCATGAATAATCTATGACTCTAAAAAGGAATGTCACCTGACCTGGTTAGATTTTCCTTGTAGTCAGTATCCCTGGTGCACCATAATTTCCCCTCTTCTCTATTTTTCACATAGACCTTCCGCATCAAACCCCCTATGTGCATCACGGTGGAAGACGCAGATTTCTTCCTGGCAGTTTTTAACAAGTCCGTCCACAACTACATGGAAAGAAGATGAAAGTCAGCTGGATCGCTCAATGCCAAGGACAATACCTGGAAACCGCAATGGCAGTGAATTGCATTTTTAAAATGTTACAAATGTCAGTATTAATCATTTTGACCTCATGAGAAAGACTACATCTGTTAATGCCTCGGCATAGCAACTGTTAAATGGAACTTTTTAAAACTATGTTATAATTAGAAGACTTAATTTATCTAATATACCTCACTAATTAAATTAGAATAACTTATCTTGTACAGTTGTCTGTGAAGGTTCTCAGTCATCCAGGTCATAGTTATCCAAAGAAGGTTAAAGTCAAGGGCAGCTTCTAGTATCTTCAACCAAGTCCAGTTGCCCTTGACTTTAACCTTCTTTGGATATCTTGTACAGTGTGCCTTTCTAACAACTGACTTGAAGTTACTTTAGCTATTTTTGGATGTGCTGAATCGTGCAGATGTGACATTGTATAACTGTTTTGTTGCTGATAATAGATGTGAATGTAATAATAATAATCTGTAAGCTGGAGGAACAGCCACTTGTGCTATTAAACATCGGTCACACTGCCACCTGCAGGTATTCATTTTATAGGTTCCACCTATAAGTTGAAGCTGAAGGAAGCTGAAGGCTGTGGTTTTAATTATCTTTTTAATCCCATATTATTGTACATAGATTATCCCTTTCTCTTGATTCTGGATCAAAAGCAGACCCAAATGGCTTAATGGGTTATTGTCTGTAAACGCTCTACAGGGATGACTTACATGGGATGACTACAGCCCCACTAAAGGGCTACTAGTTTGAACTTCAAATGGCTTCCAGAAAATTGACATATTACAGTGGTTGAAAACTGTCTGTCCTTTTTGTACTTAGAAGTCTGAAGATTCAGTCAAAGACTTTCAAGCAATTGTGCTCTTTTTACCAACTGTGATACCACTCGATAGAGGGGGAATGATGTGTATTGCTAATCTAGCAGTGAATCTTCGATAACAATAGACTCCGTATGCAGAAACCACGCGCCACATTTGACTAATTGCTTACTTGCTTTTGAAAAACACTTTGAGAACTTTAGTCCCTGCTTATTCAGTTAAGAAAGTACTTCCTCATACTGCCTTAGATGCTGTTGCTGCACAAAAGAGGGTCCCATTCATAACCCAAAGAGTATACAAATATAACTCAAATATACCATCTGGGAGTAACTCAAGCCTCACCTTAAACAAAGGAGTTGATTTCAGAACTAGGGTTTCCCAAAGGTCAGGGCTATATTATTATTTACTGTGTTGAACCCACGTCTACACTTTTACAGAAGCCTTGGGCTTTTTTGATACAGGATGGCTGTATTTGTGCCTGGGCTGGTAGCATACAGTAAGAGTTTTTTAGCTGAAACGTAAGCGAGTTTGATGAGAAGGAGACATACAAATTTGAAAAAAGAAACCGCCACGAAACTTTAATGACCTCAAACATAAATACCTTATGTTACAAACTTGACTCAGGCTTGTTGAGTCCACACACAAAAAGTTGGGAATGGCAATTTAGTGTATTCACTCAACAAAGTAAAATATGACAGGATGTGGAAGGAGTCAGTGTGGGAAGGTATGCCTGGATACATGTGTGTTATTTAAGAGGAAAATTTAAAATAAACAAAACGGTTGCCATTTGTGGAGACTATCCTCTGGTCATCAAAGCAGCTGCAACAGCAACAGCATAGAAAACAAGGAGGGTGGGCTGTTAGGGTGAGGGTGAGGCTACACTCTCCTCTGGCCTCTCAACAGGGAAGAACCAGCACCACCCAACACATCTGGCTAGCCTCCTTTCTAGATTTCTGAGCTCCCAATCAGTGAGCATTTAATGGAAATCTAGTGACCTGGTGCTAGTAGCTTGTTAGCTCATGAATTAATTAGCTAATTTAAGCCCAGCTAATCTGTCTGTAAAACCCAGGAACCAGATATAGACATTCATCTAACTGTGTTAAGTTGCAGTATGGTCTACCACACTAGGTAACTTGATGTGGGATTTATATTTATATGTGGCATAAAAATAAAGGCAACTGCATGAAATTAATTGATAGCAGAAAACGTTCTGCACACATTGCAGTAAAATACTTTTATCTCATTTGAAACGAGTGGTTTTTACATAATCTCTTTTCTGTGCTTAAATTAAATGTTTCTACGGGAGGTAACAGCTTTAAATTATATTTGATCATAAAATATAATTTAATGCTGTCTGCCAGTCAGACCAGTTCTAACTGACCTTTTCCTGGCTGGGAAAAACTGGAACTATACTTTTTGTTGCACAACGTGAAGTTAATATGGTTAAACCATCAACCAGGTTGTAACTGGATAGTGACCGGATAATTCCGGATGTTGTGAAAATAATAGAACATACAACCATAAAGAACATCAGATGTGTATTTTTCTGTAGATAATAAGTAGCCTGGCTCCAGATCTCTGAATTACTGCCCACGTCTACAATTTTACAGCAATTCAATGGCAATTCAATCTGATTATCAGGTTACAATATACGGTTTCCTGCGATGGTCTGGCGACCTGTCCAGGGTGTACCCCGCCTTTCGCCCGATGTCAGCTGGGATTGGCTCCAGCCCTCCGCGACCCTGTACGCAGGATAAGCGGTTGACGATGGATGGATGGATGGAATATACGGTCTAGATTAGAAAGAAAGCAAAGAGTTTCAAAGTTAAGAGACAGATTGTCACAAAACAAGTCCTAAATGTCACAGAAATGAAACATAAAGGCTTTGAACAACTCATGGAGTTCTTCAAAAAAAATTAAATAACTATCTCCTTTACTTGTCTTTCTGAATTTCAATCAGAACCATGTCACAGGTTCAGGATGTCAGAAATCAGCCTTCAAATACTGCTCCGCACACCTCCCAGAGATTCCCTCATGCAATTTCAAATCAGAGCAGTACACGGTAAGAGTGATGTGGCATCCAGACAGTGTCTGTCTTTGGGCTCGGTAATGGTTTGTCAAGTTGTTAGAGATGGTGCACTTAAATAGTCAGCCTAACTGAAATTATCGGCAATAGCCTTCAGTAAACACACCACAATATTTAGATTGTAATTAAATGTACCATGTGGAGCTTTTGGCCACTATCTGTTAGCAAAGTGGTATGAGGGTGTATGTTTATAGACTGTTGGTGGATGTAAAAGATAGAAATGTAAAAATAAACGAGTAGAAGCAGGTTTTTAAACAATCACAAATACCATTTAACGTTTAATTTGACATGCTTGTAAGGGCCTGTAGCTGCACAAAACTGACAATCCTACAGAGTACAGGGTTAAAACTAACTGAATAAAAAATTACTTGATTACGATTACTGAGTCTACAGCTGAAATTAAAATGCCTGCTGGTCTGTGTTCCCCTGTACAGGTTGTATATCTGACCAACAGCAGCTGGCAAGCCAGTGACCTGGCGTTGATGGCTCAACATATTATATCTTTAATCTAACATTTATTGAAAATGACATCCCCAAAGTATGGAAGTCAGCCCATGTTAGACCCCTACTAAAAGGGGGCGTTCCCTCTATTTTAACCTGTTGAAACCTTTTTCCAGAAAAAACGCCTAAAATAACATACCCAAAATGAATCAGGAATAACTCCTCAACCATTTGGCCTAGATGCATAATTCTGGTCTCCTTTGAAAAGTCAGAAGCTAAGGAATATAAATCCATTGTATATTAATATATTTATTTTACTATTACAGACTACATGGAGATGCAATAAAGATATATGATATTTTCATCCTCGCCTGGTAAAAAAAAGCTACATTTTAATACAATAAACCATCAAAACCATCATAAGGAAGCTTATAATGCAACTGAATATCTTCTAATACACCTAGAATGCAATATGTAACTGTAAATCTGATGAAAATAAACTAAAATACAACAGTTATCATACAACATTTTCAAAATATACCAGGCATGTCCATATTTGGGCAATATTTACTGTTAAAATGTTGCTTTTATTGGTAGATATCTTTAAAACACTTTTTCTGTCCATACAACCAAGTTCCAAATGACAAAACATTGAAATATTGATAAAAACAGTGAGTATTGATCAACATTCCTGTCACCCCATGCTTTACAGGCCTGTAGATTGAGAACGGAACATCCCACAGTGATGGGGGGGGGGGTCATCAATCGATCCAGCTTGAGTGGACCTTTCATTCGGTCTGAACAGAATTAGGTAAAAAAGCCTTCATGTTTGCTGCACCTTCTGCTAGGAACCTTCTTCAGAACTCGTTGAAATTGAATGCCTTTATTCCTTAAAGACATTTTGTTTCAACTCTGAAGGTTATGGAGCAGGTGAACATTGGTCGATGTTGCTGTTTATAAAGTTGTATTCTGCCTTATACAACACAGGGGCTTGTCTTATGTATACTATGTGTACTTGATGTCTTTCATATGTTGGAAACTGTTCTTTATGTTCTTTTATGCTGCGTCTTGGCCAGGTCTCTCTTGCGAAAGAGATTTTAATCTCAATGAGACTCACCTGGTTAAAGACATTTTTTTTTTTTTATTTCTCGACTTCACACAGGCAACTTTGACATCATCACTCTCAGGTCAGGTCTCATGTACTTCATAATAACATGAACATTTAGAAAGTGGTTTTTTTTTAATCAATGCTTGATGGTAAAAGTAAACTCTGACAGGGCTTTAACACTGTAGAAGACTAAAATTCAAGAAATTCAAAGGCAAGGTTTGTCTTGTTGTCCTGTTTTTTATTGGTTTTGCAATGGTTTGTTCTTCCCATGAATTCAAGATTGTACTTAGATAGAAATAGATTCTTTCATTGGCCATGGATAGGGGAAGCACACAGTTTGACTGAACAGAAGACTGCAAGGTTGATGATTCCATTATAAACTAGAATTATCACCCCACTGCTGCATGTCTCCGCCAATTGGTGAAGTTGGAGTTAACATTTTTGTCTGTCCAGTCTATTTAATACATGCAATGAATACTTGGAAGGAACAGAATAAAAGGTATAGAGTGTATTTTATGGCTAAATGGAAGTTTTCACTATATTGATGATACATATGTATGATTCATGTGAATATATATTGTTGAACTGATTAATGAAGGATTATCTTAGTTGGACTGGTTAAACAAGTACACATGAACTCGGTGTGTGTGTGTGAAATCTGGAATAGTCCATTCTTAAATAAAAACCTATTTTTTGGTCACAACGACCTTTGAGTCAAAAGTGTTACCTATTCAGAGTCCAACCAACTGTGAAATATGGTCACAATCTCCCCTTCTGTTCCTGAGTAATGGTGTTGAATAACAGAGTCAAAAATGTTTTTTTCCAGGACATTATGATTTCATAGTGTTGGCCTTTTGGGTTAGAAAATGTCATCACTTCATAATTGTATCCTATTATTGTAAAATTGTGTCATACCATAACAATTCTTGAGTTATGTCACAGTGGCCTTAACCTTCCAGTAAAAATTTTCACCAATTCATTGTCCAACAAACTGTGAAATATCGTAATCAATTCAAGGATCAAAGTTATGGTCAGAAATGTGATTTGTGAGGTCACATTAACCTTTGA